AGAGGACACAGAAAAAAGGGAGGAAGGTAAAACACGGGTTAGTACGATACCTTCTGACAGGGATGGCTGGAACTTGGTGAGAATCGCAATGTCATCTTTAAAAGGAAAAAACACTTGAGTAAGAACCAGAAATAAACCCCACTTTAACATGAACTCACTGCATAATTCTCCTCTATCTCTTAAAACACAGCCACTGTATAAAACAAAAAGAATAAACCCAGGACAGCAGGGACTGTGACCCTGGCAGAAAACATGGCACAGCTCCTCTGGGAACACCAACATTCCCATTTTTGTCCAGACACCTTATTCTGCATCACAAGCCCCTTTTCCTGAGCAGCAGCAGGGAGGGCCATAACAGTTCCTACCAGCCACAAAAAAGCCTTTCAAATTGTTCATGAAATTACAGTTTCATATCRAAAGATGGGCATAAAATAAGAACATTCTGATAAAAATACCATATTTAAGGGTATGTCYTTGTTCTTCAACACCAAATGCTTTTATGTATATAAACAGATATAGAAATGTCTGTGTGCCAAGAACAACAAATACTTGGGAGTTTGTTATAAAGACACCCACTAAACCAAGTGGTCCTTTACCACAAAATTTGTTTGTACAAATTGCAGTCGCTCCTTGAAAATCTTTTGGTCAAAATCAACTCCAGAACAACAACTCCATGACTATTAAAACTCACTAAGCTGTTTCAGGAATTTATCATTTTACTGTTTGCTCGAATCACTGACCTCCATGGGAGTGCATGTCCAGTGGAACTGTTTTTTTCAACATCCTGGCAATCCTTCACAGAGCTATTTGTAACTCCTTAAACACATGTGCCTTGGGAGGGTGCACATTAAATAAGCAAGGGCCTGTAATTCTGCAGTGTTTAACATATGCTGTCCCAAACTACACCCAACCACTGAGAAACCTTTGGTTGCCACCCTTAAGAATTACAGATCATTGCTGCTTCAATTACAGACCCAAATGATCAGAACAGCAGGAACCCAAAACAGAAATCAGCATCCAAGACTGGAGAATATAATCAAGACTGATTGTACCTCTTAAAATATAAGTAGTTCACTCACAAAAAAAGGTACTTTCATTACTGCAACGTTATGATTTCTGCAACAAGCATGAAAAACGGCTTCTTGTGCAATTAAAAGATCAGAAATTCTACAATCGTTTGAATTTGTTCACAGTGCCAGAATAAATTCCTTTTTTACATGGCAAAACTGACAAGTTAGGAGAAGACAAAAAGAAGATAATGTGTGTTGTAAAAAAGTAATGATGGCACTGTCAAAATTAAGGGTTCCCACAGACCCTTTTTAATGATAAAAAGCTGTGCCAAGGTAAATGGTGTCAAAAACCAAGCTGCACATTCCCCAGGAGAAATGCAACTTGTGACATGTCATGTCCTGGTCACAACAGTGCAGTGGGACCTCGACCAGGTAAGAAAAAACTCAAGACCCAGACCTAACCACAGGACTTGCCACTCAACTTCTGGAGCAAAGCTGAGGAATGGTTTCAGCTTTGAAGAATGGTTTTGGCTTCTTGCATTCTCCTGGATGGAGAGGAAGCATGCTCTGGAGGATGCACTGGAGTTTTTTCTTCAAAACAGCATGGAGAAGTCTGCCTTGCTAAGAAAAGAAGGGATTTTAGCCATTCAGGTGTGGTTGCACTGTGCTTGAAAGCCAAGGAAAAAATCCTTATTCTTTTTTTATTACTAGCACAGCTGCAGCCATGGATGGTCTAACCACTCTAACTGCACCTAATCCGCAATTTCCCTGGAAGATGGCAATTATTCTACTTSAGCATCCCCAAAAAGTCATGCTGCTGGGGTATGGCAAGGAAAAAAGCTTGGCTGAGGATGCTGAGCTTGAGGCAAAGCTGGGCACAGTGAGAGGACACTGCTCAGRGCAGCTCTGCTCAGGAAACAGCCCAAGGGGAGGCTCTTCAATATTCCTTTCCTCCAACTTTCATCACCCTGATTCTTCTGCACCAAGAACAGCTCTTGGCAGATCCTTCCCACCACTAAAAATGTTAATGCATGGTTCTAAAATCAGAAGAGGCATTTCCAGGGATCCAATTCTTTGTTTTGCTTCTAGAACTAGAAATTCATCCACATCTTCACACCTAAGACCTCTGATGAAGCTRTTCCAAAGAGAATCACTACTGATTCTGCTGTGACTTTCAGTATTGTTTCCAAAATGGCTCTTTCATTTATTTCCACAATTTTCTTAGGCACAACAACAGCAGGATCCTTTTCAGCCAACAAAACCAAGGAGGTGAGAAGAGCTTTCAGAGTGACACCGTTCTTCATCATTCTGACACCTTGGCATGTTAGTTTATACACGTGCCTCTCCTTAGAGCAAAATGCTGATGGTCCAGGTAAAATGGAAATAAACCAAGCAAAACCCTAATAAATCAGGAAACTTACACTGCAGAAGTGTAAGAATTATGAAAGAATTCACTGCAGAATTATGAAATTGTTGTGAGTTTTTATGAAGTAGCTGCTTTGTAYTACAAAGAAAATTCCCAATATTCACCTTCAACAGGCAGTGAAAGAAAATGTTATTTCCCAGCTGGAAATTTCTTGGATTTATAATAAACCCCTGCATTTATTCATTCATTCACCTGAGCTGGCTGGTAGAAATGAGAAATKAGTCACTCATTCCAAGTAATAATGACTATTGCATGTGCTTCCATATCTAAGGAAAACAGCTTTACAATGATCTTTCAATTCAATTTATGCACATTCTGCTCATATCCTCCAGATATGAGGGAGTCACCAGGGGGAACTGGGGCCCACCCAGCCCAGATGACTTCCCAGAAGCAAAATGAGCTTCTTACAAAATGAGTTTATTATACACCAGCTAGCCCTGTCTGAAGAGTGAGAAATGTGCTGCTGAGACAAAATTTAAGCATCAAGATGATGCCCAAAGTGGTGGTCCATGCAGACACAGAGATGCTCCTAAAAATTGAGGACTATTTCTAAACAATGGAAACGTTTTCAGTGAATTCATGAAAACCTATTGGGAATATTTTACAAGGATTTTATTTTGAAATTCTTTTTAGAAGTCTCTTTTAAAAAAGAAGAAGATTGCATTCAAGTACGGGCTGTTTCACCGACATTTTAATTTTCTGCATGTGTGTTATTATGAAACAAGCACTTCCAGGGAACAGGCATTTATCAACACATCAGAAAAGAAAAATAACTCTCTTATATAGGCATAAGTATTTAGAAATCTGTTCCTAACAGCAAGAAAATCTCACTTAACATTTGGAAAAGACATGAAGTCCTAGACCTAATCTCCAGTAGAGTAACTGGGCATTTTAAATCAGAACAGGGCCTTTACCCTCAGCTGTCTCCCATTTAAAGAACCACAAAACCACCTACCCTTTTGATTAAAAGGTACCAGGACAGCAAAAATAAAAAGAGAAGTTTTGCAAATCTGTTTTCGCAAAAAAAAAAAAACAAACCAACAAAAAACAAACCACAAGCATAGTGTTGTAACACAGAACTTCAATGACATTTTGATGCAATTCAGGCAAAAAAAAAACACTACTGCATTTCATGTCCCAGCACAGACAAGACTCAAAGCGTGCTGTGAGCACTCAGAGCTGTCAGGTGTCATCATTCTGCACAATGACACAAATAAACTGAGTAATAGGTTCAGATGCAGCTATAAAGAATGGACATTCCTGCCCTTGCAGGAGAGATATTCTATAGCTGCTGTAAATGAAAATGAATACATAAAGTAGGAAACTAATGACGCAAATATAGCAATAAAAAAAAAAAAAAAAAAAACCTCAAATTTAGTGTCCTCTGGTGGTATTCCTCAGTTTCATGTTATCCAAACATTCCATTTCAGATGGCAAATTTAATATGTAATTTTTTGTTCCTTCTGATCTACCTCACTCAACACTTTTGTGGCTATGCTTCCAATGAAATTGCATCACCAGAAATTTCGCTAGTGTGTTCACCAAGTATTGAATTTTCTCACATGAAACAACATAAAAATATACCAATATAGGAAGATATTTCATAAACAAATGCAAGATTTGCAAGATTTATAAGAACTGCAAGAAATGGTATTTTTGTCAAAATCCCTTTAAAAATGATGGAATAACTTCAAAATTCCTATACTGATCCCGSAGAGAAACTGTTCCATCAGTCAAGAAAACGAGCAGTGGACCATGGCTTCCATCACTGAAAGTTTTTTATGTAAGCATCAGTCAATTAACAGAATTAAAGTAGATAAAGTGGTTTGAAGAACCAAGTGGCCTGAAAACCACATCTGCTAGCCATTACTTGTTGGCACGGTGTATTTCTAGCACACCACAAACGGTGCAAACACAGAGTTTCTGATTTCCCACCCAACAGTTGAGACAACTCCTTTGAACAGCAAACCACAGGGCCCTTTCTAATTTAGGGGAAGTGCAGAAAATGAAAGGACAGCCATCTGCCTCATGAGTCCTGCCCACACCGTTTGCCAGGGTTCTGCTATTTTGACAAGGGCCTCAAATTTCATATTTCCCCTTGTGAGCCTTGTAAAGAAAATGAGAATCCCTTGGGATTTCCAGTTAGAAGACTGCACTTCACACAAAGATATATTCACTTCTGAAGCTCCAAAGGATGGGCTATAAATAAATCTCTATATTGTGTACATAGAGGTATTTGTTTATTCCAGCACCGGAGGTGAGGGGGATTTTTTTACTTAACTCACCCACCCCTGTCAAGTGTCATGTTTTATTTATACAATAAGCATTGTTTAATATTGCCATGTTAGCATAACATTATTATATAMGTGTTTGGAATGTATTTATATAGGATTACTTCATGATTATAAATAATTTTTCTGTACTGTGCTTGAGTTTCCTCAATTTAGGTGGTCTTGAGGGTCTTTTTCAATGAAGGCTCAAGGTCTTCCTCACAAATGAACTTTTCARSTTTTCCTWCTGAGCGTGCACAGTTRTGGTGTTCTTTGGGCTTTCTGGATTTAACTGGTTTAAACTTTTTAYCTTGTGGCYAATTKGCTTTACATTGGCCAATTTCTCATTAGTTCATCTTGCTGTTTCTTAAGTAGCTATACTAATTTATTTTTTGAGATTATCCACCTGTCCAGTTTTTGTTTACTTAAGCATTAAGTAACTAGCTAATACATTTGGCTATTATTTTGTATAGAAAGTTATGAGTCAGGCTATATAAGTATTAAAAGCTATAATTTAGCCTACAGAAGTATTAAAATGTTATCATTCAGGTTCCATAGGTATTTCACAAATTAAGCTATGTAAGCATCTGTCACTTTGRCCCAAGTTATATAGGCATCACTTCCTAAAAAAATGTGCTGGGAACTTCACCACCTCTGCTGGTTCTCACTGAAACCTCACAGCTTTAGGTTTCAATGAAAAACTCACATTTCTATAATAAAATCCAAGCAAACAAGTCCCAATAGACTGAGCTCCTCACACAGCCTTTAGCCTAACACAAAATGTTATAATTGTTACAACAAAACACACAATGTTACAGGACACACACAATGTTACAGGACGTGCAGCCACACACACAATGTTCAATCCATAAATAATTCCTGACATGGTATTTAGCTTTAGCACACAGCAAATAGCTGAAAACCCTTCCATAACTATAATTGCAAGAACTATCCCCAGCAATACAACAATCCTTCTCCTTTCTGCATTTATACACACACCTGCACGTGGAAAGCCAYCACCAAATATAATAAAATTACTGCCAGATAAGAAAATACAACCTGGTAATTACACTGCTCTTGGGGTCAATGCCCAGACCACAATAAAAACAACCAGTGCAAAAGGTCACTGCATTATTACCTTGGCTCTTAATATCTGATCACATTTTTACATTACCTACACCTCCTTGATGACATGTTTATTTTGGATGGCTGTTTGTGTCCTCCACGTGCAGCTGATTAGTTTAGAGATAGTAAAAATCAACACAGTGGTATTTGTTTTTCTCATTTGTTTTTGGTTTTTTGTTGTTTGGAGTTTTTTTTAAAAATAAATTATATGCCAAGAGCTCTCAGCATGATTTTAAAAGCACATTTTCAGCAGCGCCCTCATATCTTATCCTAGAGTTTCCTTGCATCACAGTAATTAYAAAGCCTTTGCACACAAAGGTTGAAGTGTGCTTTCATTTTACAATTCAGTTATCAGTTTATTTCCACAGGGAACATCCCAGGACAGCACAGCACACGGGGCAGTGCCTCTGCTGCAAAYTGATGGATAGAGAATCACTCAGAGAACAGAACATCCCTCTGCCTTACACCAGAAGATATTCTGGTGGCTTTCTTGGTGATTATTTGACATTCACAACCCAGAACCTCTGCCCCTCAACTGCTGAGAGGGGCAGACAGCTGCAGAGCATTTTCTTTCATTTTCTGGGAAAAAAAAATTGTGAAATTGTAGCCCCTTATTACAAAGAGACTGAAACGCTTCCACCTGTGATGGCAGGACCATCGCTCAGTTCTGCACCTGAGGGATTTCAGAGGTGTTTTYCAACCCTAATGATTCTAYGAGCTGCACTTCCCAGCTTCCCAAAACATGGCCTGAACGTCCCACATAATTACTACTGGTTTTAAATGGCATGCAGAGGACTTAATCCCTCCTTTGCTACTCACTGAGCTCCAGGGACTGAACTTAAGTGTTCTCACCTAAAATGAGAATGTTGTCCTAGAGCAGCTTTTAATTTTTTTTTTCAAACCAACACAATCTGGAAAGAAAAATCCATGTTTAAAAAGCTGTATTTAACAGCTGCAGGAGAACATTGTTCCCATTTCCTCACCAAGAGCACCACAGCTACACGGTGATCTGATGCAAGTTGCTGGGATCAGTTCCCAAAAGCAGGTTTTCCTACTGCAAACAGGAGTTTTCTGCAAGAGGGAGGTTCAATTTCCATTAACCAACCCGTATTTACCCTGTGCCCCCGCAGTGACGTGCAGCAGCCAATTAAAGAAATTCCACTCAGAAACCAGACATTGGCTGGTCTGAGGGAATATTTCCTCCCCTGACTTTCACRTTCTGAGCTAGCTCTAAGTTTCTTGAAGCTTTTATTACCTAAGAATAAACTTTCCAACAGCTTTCCTCTCCACAAACCCTTCGGTTTGGCCCTGCTGGGAACACGATATCCCATTCAACGTTTCCACAAATAGATCAGAAATTACTGCATACGYCGTGATGGTAATTAGAGACAGATGCTGTTTTGAACAGAGGCCTGTATTTCATGTTCAGAAATCCTGATCACATAATTATCATTGTATTCACTGACAGCAGTATTCARTCCTGAATATTACAGGATGCCAACACACTGGCACTGCTTGAAAGCCACACCATCGGCTTGTTCTGATATTTTTCCACCTTTCTCACAAGCAAAACAACAACCAACCTTAGAAATCATTTGAATTTAGATCACTTAGAGCATTTCGAGTTACAACCAGGCTCCTGGAAGTTTTGGAAATGGTGCCATGTGTATAAAGGCAGCATACTTCAGACAGAAAGCTTCCAGAAGACAAGCAGGCTTGGGATATATCCCACAACSCAGCTATGGTAGCACTGACATGCTGGGAAAAAAAAATAACAGAAAGCCAACAYAGACATAAATATTCCCAGCAACATACTACTGTCTTCCTCCTCTGATATTAACATTCCAATTTTGCAAGTTCAGTTTTCTTAGACTTCTGTGTTTGAGGTAAATGACACGTATCTTCCTACAGAAAGCAGCATCACACACACAAACACAGAATTTTTTGCCTCAMACAGATGTAATTCAGCAGGAAGCCAGAAAGCTTCCTTCGAGGTAAGAGTAAGGCTCTAAACAGGCAAGTTAAACTTTCTGCTGCTGCTAGACAGTTTTTATCCCCATAACCCGTTCCCCAGCCTTCAAGTTTAATGAAAAGCAGTAACAAACCAGAATTAAATACACACATAATATCCAAAAATAAACGTTTCTTTAAGGAAAATGAGTAGCAGATGTTTTCTTCCCTGCCTTGTTCCTGTTGATTTACACAGGCCCTGTTTAAGCATATCAGACACCCAGAGCCTTAGGAGGCTTTTCCTTAAAAGCAAAAAGCATATGTTTAGATCTACAGGAAGTCCTGCTAGCAGTATATGCACGCTGTTAACAATAATTTAAGGAAGGTTTGGGGTTGGTTTTTTTTCAACCTTGAGAGATTTTTGGGCAACAAATTAACATACACTTTAAAAAGTCTACTCACTTGACCTCATAGTTAATGTTTCTGCTTTAGAAGAGGGGTTAATTAACAAAAATGAACTGAATTGGAATATGATTTTGTATAGACAGTTATGTGCTACTGTATGGCAAATCCTTCTAAACCATCCTTGGACACTGAAACCCCTCAAATCTCCTTATATTCAGTATTTATGACTACAAAAACCCCCACGAGGCTCGAKGGAAAATGAACATTGTGGAATGAAGCTTACAAATCTGACTTCATCATTCCCTAAATGGGAATATTTTGTGTGCTCTGTAAATATTCTTCAGYAGAACAGCCCGTGGAGGGAGCAGCTCAGTCTCAGCAGTTTTTATGGCTCGCAGGCAGTGGGATGGGCCATGACTCAGGCCTCTCACATCCCTTTGGAGAGGATCGCTGGCCAAGAGGCTGCAATGTCCATCTGCTCCAGTTCCTAAGGAGCCTGCCAGCTCCACCAGCCTGCCCGGAGAGGGCAAACCCTCGTCTGACACTTGCCTGCCCCCCGGAGCTGGACACCCCTCCTTGCTGTCACTGGAGCTGCTTTCGGGTAATTTCATCATACCTCTCTGAAACAGGATTGCCAAATATGCTGAAAATCACGATTTGCATCAGTGCTCGAGGTGTTTAAAATGGCATTATATTTTTTTCTAGAAGAGATGGTGTAGTCAAGCTGTGAGGGAGAATACAGAACCTGGGAAGACAACACGGGGACTTTGTTCCTCCCTGCTTTAAGATTTTCACTTCTAGGACTGATGGCAAAGCACTATTCCCAAAAAAGAAATGTTTCCAGGCCAGCATTTTTCTTTTTCAAGCAAAATACACATAGTCTCATTCTGAAAACATTACCATGCTCTCTCTGACTGTTGATTCACGTTGCCAGGTGAGGTGCTGATAAACACACACTTGCATCATRTTATCTTACAAAATCCTAATAAGACCACATTAATTATAAGTAATGACATACCACGCTGACGTGAAGTGGAAACTGTAACTCGGATATTGCAAAGCACAAACCCACCGCAGGGTCTGCCCAAAGTTCAGAGGTGCCAGCGCATCTGGGATGGGGAGAGGGGCAAGAAGGCTGCTCACACCTTCCCAAATGAGGGGGTCCTGTCTGCTCTGCGCTTTTTCTAAGGGCAAGCTCATCTGTAGGAGCCAGCGCCCGACCCCAGCTGCTGCCTCGGGGAAGGCTCTAAGTTATCTGCCCGGCAGAGGGATCTTTGTGCCTTTTAAGAGATAAAAATCAAGCGGGTTCTCTAGTTTTTGTTCTGGGCAGGGTGTGAATGTGAGAGCCTTCCTTTGCGAGGTTTACTTGGGGGTTATAAAGATCTAATCATAGTTTGATCAGGCTCACGGCRAAGTGGTCTTGCTCTTTTCAAGTRGWAGCCGAGGGATTAAAAGCTCGATGCAGGAGGGGTGAGGATTCACCCGGGAGCAGCCCCATCTCACAGTCCCGGCCTGGGGAGGAACCAGAGCCCCCCCAGCCCCCGCACACCACGCTCGCCCCTCAACCACGCCGCTTCCCCGGGCCCCGAGCTGGGCAGGAAGCGCCACCATCCCCCGTGGGGACAGGGGCGGAACAGAGCCGCGATCCCCCCGCTCCTACCGTCCGCCGACAGAGCCATCTCGATGAGGGTCTCGTTCGCTTTCTTCCCCAAGCGGTTCATSGTGGCCGCCTTTTCCGCTGCTCCAGGGGAGCGGCCGCGGAGCGCACGGTGACTCAGGGGCCGGGCGGCCGCCCCATGCATGCGCACTGCCCGCGGAGGCGGAGCGGAGCCGCGCACCGGGGCGGGCAGAGCGCGTACCGGGACCGGGGGGAGCCGCGCACCGGGGCGGGGGAACCGCGCACCGCACCCGGAGGGAATCGCGCACCGGGGCGGGGGAACCGCGCACTGAGACCAGGGGGAACCACGCACTGGGACCGGGGGGAGCCGCGTACCGGGGCGGGGGAACCGCGCACTGAGACCGGGGGGAACCGCGCACCGGGGCGGGGGAAACGCGTACCGGGACCGGGGGGAACCGCGCAACGGGGAGGGGGAACCGCGCACCGGAGAGGGGGAACCGCGCACTGGGACCGGGGGGAACCGCGTACCGGGGAGGGGGAACCGCGCACTGCACCCGGGAGAGTCGCGCACCGGGGCGGGGAAAACGCGCACTGCACCCGGGGGAACCGCGCTGATGCGTGATGATTTTTTGCTTTTCCCTTTACGCTTCTGTACYCTTGATGCATCCGCCTGTACCCCTTAGTCCACATGCTTGTAATTCCTGAAGCTTGATACTCCAGTTTAGTTTAGGAGTTCTGCTGGCCAGAGAGACCAAACATTCTGARGAAGGAGTCAGTGYRCCCTGTGCTAYCTTAAACCCGAGRCTYCAGCCTTGGGTGAAGCCTTCTGTCCAGAACATSTTGKGTAAACKRGRCTCTGGCCTCATCCTSKRGSKKMATTCATTAGAATAGRGGGACATTACTGYATTTGTTAAGTYTCTTATTGGGGAAYCCTAGAYAKATATGCTAATTCCTGAAAYCTATAAAACTTGTACCCGTGCTGTACACGRRKGTGCATTYTGCCATCAAGTTGTGCACCTGGGATCCCAAATACCGAGGTAAAACCCTTTTTATCCCCTTAACCGTGTCTGTGTCATTATTAAAAACTGGCCTTTCAAGGCAACAGCGCACCGGGGGCGGTGATGCCGCGGCGGCAGCGCTGGAGCGGGCGCGGTCCCCGGAGCCCCCGCAGGGCCGTGTCCCCCGCCCCGGGCAAGGGCAGCGGATCGAGGGATGTCCCAGCCCCGCACGGGACACATCCCAAAATCACACTGTGCCCCTGGGAGGTGGTAGGTATGATATGGGGCTCAGCTGTCCCGCCTGTCAGGAAAATTAATCCACCAGCACCAGAGTTTTATGTCCAAAAAGGAGACAGAGGAGTTCCGCAACTTTATTCCAATAAAGGGAGAGGCCATGGGATATTTCCATGGGGTGTCTCAAATTGTAAGAGGAGACCGTCTCCTTTTTATCCCAATTTCCCGGCCACATTTCCCCTCTCTTTCCCCATTGGCTGAGGTACCTGAGAACTACAGACTTCCCGAATCAACTAATACAGATCCCCATCTAATGTGCATCCCCTCCTCTTTTTTATTCTTTGTGCCTCTGTTCTTTTTCTCTAAGTCCAGGGATTTAGCAATGTCTTGGGTGAATAACAGTCTGTGTCAATTCCTGGAATTCCTATGGAATTTAGGGTCCCTCCCATTTCTCCTTTCACCTATCAGTATCTGGCCTTATCCCCTAGCAGACTCCACAGTTTTTTGTAAAGACATCTCCCCCTCATTCCTTTCACACCTGTGTCCCCTCCCAGCTGCTTGTGCAGCTACAGGAGCAGAATGGGCCCGGACCCTGCGCAAGCACTGCTCAGCAATATCTGAAATATCCCTCTGTTATCAACACTGTTCTTATCACAAACTCGAAACACAGCCCCATAAAAGCTGCTAAGAAATGTAATTCTTAACTCGTGAGGCTCCATGCACAGCTGCTGTCCCTGCTCCTGGAGCTGCTACCATTGCCTTGCCTCTAACAGACCCAGCTCCTCATCACTTCCCTCAATTATCTGAGACAGTTTCCAACAGTCATTGTTCAGCACATGCATTTAACCTGGTTTTTGGTTTTTTTTCTCATTATTATAAGCAGAGGCCTTMTTGCAGATTAACTTTAGTGTTTATTCAGCTTTTACTACCTGAGTAACCATTTCACAATTGACATTAACCAAACTGTTGGAGTTTTGTTACAAGGGCAACTGTGACATAACAGTGATTTCATGACAGGAAATCTTTAATCAATTAGAGTCAGTCAGTTGAGTTGCTGGGCTTGTTTTCAGATCTATGTAACCGTTGAATCTCCTCCTAGCACTACATATCTTGGATAAACACTTTTATACCCATGGGAGATGGAGTAAGAGTTGCTATTCAAAAAGAGCCAGAAACAGAAAGTACTACCGAGGTCATTGCTTTCCTAACCAAAAAACAATGGTTTTATTTTTTTGTTAGGAAAAAACAAAAAGCCTAACCCTACCCCTAGTTAATTACCCAAAACCACAGTTTTCCAGCTCAGAAAGATGGAGGAGCAGCAAGGTTGGGGCCCCAGTGTGATGGTCTTGCAAGGCTCTTTTCAGCCCCAGTGTGCCTRGAGCTCAAGGCTCTTTAGATCTCTSCAGCCCCTAAGGGTGRCTTGGCACTGGGCCAYAGGGGCTCATGGCCAKAGGTGGCACAGACTGAAATGGCTGCAGTTGGCAATGGTGCCACCTCCAATGCCCTGGAGCCTTAATTCAAGGGTTTGATGYTTGAAAAGATTCRAGATAAACCTTTATAGACAGRTGTCTRTTGYAGCACTGGAGGWGAGGGGKATCTTATTACCYAACTCACCCACCTTTGCTAAAGGTTGTCACGTATTTATRCAGTAAATATWGCTTAATATTGTCACTGTCACTACATCCACCACTATGTATGGGTACAGAAACACATGGCATCACAGTTCTGTAAGTACACTTGCAACATCTCAAATTCAGTGGTCGTGGGGGATCTCAAGGTCTTCCTCGCCTCTGAACTTTTCAATTTTATCTGCAGGCCATGMRCAGYCATGGTGTTCCTTCRTTTTTTCTGGYCCTCAAGGTCTACCTGTTCCATTTTCTGGCTAATTGTTCTTACACTTGCCATGTCTTCATTACTGTTTCTTAATATAACATTTACTTGTCTWCTTCTGAAGTATAGTTATCTATTTTTGAAATAATCCACCTGRCAAATTTGTTTGTTCAAGCATCAAGCAACTGATTTAACTATATTTAGCTGGTACACTGTATGRGAAGCTATAGCTATATTTAGCTAATAGACTGCATGACGCCAATACACTATATGAAAGCTTATGTCAATATATGAAAGCTAGTACATTGTATATAAAGTTTTGCAAAGCAAATTCTTTTTATTACTTGCATACTTGCAGCCCCTGGATTCTGAAGAAGCTGAAGAGCAGGAGGAGGAGATGGAGCATAGCTCCTGAGCCAGAGGGGTGGGACCATCATTTAAAATGATGGAAACAGATTTTATTGAAATGCCAGCAGTGCCAAATGCTTGCCCCAGCCAGATCTCAGAGCCAGCCCTGTGGGAAGGGKTTTAATGCCCATTTTCCTCATCCCTCGAGGCTGCAGTGCTGGAGCACTTACAACCAAATAAGCCCGAGGTGCTGAGTGCTGGCAGAAGGCAAATCCATGGATTGGACAGGAAGAGTTTGCACTGCTCCTGTAGTGCCAGAGCTGGAGCTGTGCTTTAGAAACCCCGCAGGAGAAGCTGCCTCACTCAAACCCTGTTTAAAGCTCAGCATCCCTGAGTGGGAGGGAGCGCCGCCGTCTGGGGAGCCCCGGGGCTGGCACGGGCGGTCCCCGCGCCCCGCCCGCTTCCAGCTGCGATCCAGCGCCTGCCCCGGGGAATCGCCGCCCTCCCGCCGGGTCCGGCACCGGCAATGGCCCGGCTCCCCGCGGGACCGTGCCCGGAGTCCCGGCGGGACCCCAGCACCGCCCTGGCCGCAGCCGGAGCCGAAGCGGTAGCGCCGGGCTCGGCCCCAGCGCCCGTCCTGGAGGAACTTTTCCCGACCGCGGAGATCCCGGTCCTCACCCAGCGCCAACCCCGGCTCGGTCGCCCGGACCCTGGAGCCACACCGCGCTCGCCAAGGGAGAAGCGGCTCCGCCCGGGATCCCCGACATCCCGGTCTGGCCGCACCTCAAGAGCCTCGGGCACTGCACAGCGCCGGGAACAACGCCCAGTCTGAGGCTCCGCACAGCGCTCCGAGCGATGGTCCCACCACATCCCAACACGAGCATCCGCTACCAAACGGTGTCACCATCCGCTTGACTTAAAGCGGGGGTCGTGATAAACGGCACATGCCCGGATCTGCGGGATATACCGATGTGGGCGGGACGGGGCTGGCACAGGTGTGAAGGGCGGGGCCGAGGCGATTTAAGCTCCGGGAACTGGCGACACTGCCATTTGCGTCTCGTCGCTTGGTCGGGAAGGTTGTAGCTTGCCCGGGTTCTGTAACTCTCTTCCGGTGTATTTCTTTTCCTCTATACCTCTCCTTTCTTCCTTCCACCCTTCCCCACATGTCCTCTCAATCGTCCCCCTCCTTCTTCCAACCTTCCTTTCCCCCCGACTGCGGCTCCCCCGTCCCGTCTCCATGCTGCTTTCTCCCTCCTTCCCCCCTCCCACCTGCCCTCAGTCCTCCCCCTCCTTCCTCCACCCTACCTTCTCCTCCCATCTTCCCCCACCCCACCTCCCCCTGCTTCCTCTCGCTGCCCTGCACACCTCAACCCCCCCACCTGCCCTCTGTCCTTGTCTCGCTCCGATCACCCCCTCTGCCCCACTATTCCCATTCTCCATCCGCCCCTCTCCCTCTTCCCCCGCAGCCGCGGAGCTCGACACCGCCGGGGCTCCGGCTTCCCCGACATCACACTGGGGACTCTCCGAGGGGCCGGGGCTGGGGATCGGGGATGGGCTGAGGGAAATAGGTAAGGGTGGGACCACCTCCAACGGAGGGTGGGGAGTCAGGGTGGAGCCCTTCCGGAGAAGGGGCGGAGGGGAGACTTTGCCCCTACCTCCCCGCCCCCTTTCTCCGAACCGCCCCCTCCGGACGGCGCCGGGGGGGGAGGGAGGAGGTGGATGGGGTGACGGAAAAGCAGACGGTGAGTCACGTCACTGCAGCGTGAAAGCATACAGATATCATCAACCAAAGAAAYAGCCGCCCCCTGCTTCTCCCCGGGCGCCGTCCGGAGGCGGTAGTCCGGAAGAGGGAGCGGGAACTGGAGGGGAAAAGTCCTCTCTCCACCCCGATCCCCTCCCCTGGACCCCCTGACCCGCAGGGGACCCACCCTGAACGCCTTCCTCCGGAGGATCCCACCCTAACCCAATTCCCTCAGGATGAGGAGGAGTAGGGAAGGCGKTCGGGGTACAGAGGGAAACGGGAGGGGAAGGGAAAGGCCGGGTGGGGGGRAAAGGGAAGGTGAAAAGACGAGGAGGACAGGGGGAATAGAAATTTTTATCCAGCGTAGGAAGATAATTCTCATGGAGAAACCCCAAAAATAAAGGATATGGGGTCGGGGTAAGGGGGGGATGCTGTGGGGGTGGGCAGTGTTCTGCTTTAAATTAAAAACACATTGGGAACAGCTCCTTTCCAACCCTGGACTGGCTTCTGTGTGATCAGCTGGCATTCCAAATGCTCCCATAGGATTTTCAGCCAGTGGAAYTCTCGTGTCAGATGCTGAACATGACAGAAAATAATGGGAAAAGTCYCTGTATCAAGCAGTGCCCAAAAGAGCCGGCAGTGCCCAACATTCCTGGCTGGAATTTGGGAGAGCCAGCACAGCCACTCTGTAGTGTCCCTGTGGACCTGGCACTGCCCACTATCCCTGACCCAGCCTTGGGGCTTCCAGCACAGCCTCCCYAGCACATCCCACTGCTTCCTCAAGTCACCTTTAATCAGGATCATTTTTTGGGGCCACCCAAACCCAGCAGAATTGGCTTAAACAAATTTGGGGGGATCTCCCCTCTCCCCTCCTCACCAAATTCCTGCTGCTAAAACCCAGCCAGAGCCTCAGCTCCCCATCCCCTCTAATCTCTCCAAGGAACTGGACTTGCATTTCCCAATCCAGCAGGGCAGGAATGCTCTTCTCCTCACAGTGTATCTTGACTGCAGGCATTGCTTAAGAAATCACTCCAAGAATGAAGAGACAATAAACCAAGGGCTGCTCAACCTCCATCTCAATCCTTTGCTTTAATTAACCACAGCGACCTCGTGTGACGGCAGCCCAGAGGAAGATCTCTTCCCAACTGCTCCGGCTGTGCTCGGTGTGTCCTGACAGTTTCCCTGCTGACACACCACAGCGTCCTCTGCCCACTGCCTTGGGGAGTAACCCTAAGGTGCCACCAAGAAAGGAGCCTCTTATGGACACAGAGTCTTGGGATTCAGGGGAAGGCATCCACGGATCCAGGCACACCAGTTCTACACATGTCGCTAAATTTCCCTAAGCTAGGCAACACAAAACAAAACAAAGGAAACAAAAGAAACTTTTCACTTTTCACCATTTTCAACAATCTASCATATTCATGTTGTCTCTCTTCCAACAAAAAGCCAATTCAACTTTGAAAACCGTATATTCTGGTGTCCCAAGCTAACACATAAAGGCATTTCTCTTTCTGTGCCCCAAATACATCTTAGAATAGAAACATTCAAACTCACTTTTCCTGGGAACCTGTAGAATTCTGTGTCAGCAGCTCAGCATTGCCAGATGAAAAACCCATTCCAGCGGGTTCTGCCTGCTTGGGATTTTCAATTCCCCTKCCCCCAGCTCCTCCCTGCTCTGGCATCTGGGGCAGTTGTTTCCACTGGGCAGGATAGGGAGGGTTTCACACCTCATCTTTTCCAGAAGCTGCATTCGGAGCCTTTGGGTCCTGCTGTGTCAGCCCCCCAGGCCCTGCAAAGCAGCATTTCCTTCCACCCTTACAGGGCTGCCTCACAGCCCCCTGGGAGGCCCTGAACCAAACCCCTGCAGGTTTGGTTTGTTKGATTGCTCCCACCCACAAGGTATTTTACTGAAACAAGGGCTGAAAATCTTCCTCAAAAGAGAAGCAGAGGGATCCTGCCCCTCCAAATGCAAACTCCCTGGCCACCACCATTCCTGTTCCTCCAGTGTGCAAACTCCCTGGCCACCACCATTCCTGTTCTGCCAGTGAATCCACATCAGCCCAGTTATCAGATGGGCCTCCACTAAAACTCCAGTTTTTCTCTCCTGYAGGAATTCYGARGCCCATGGAGCAGCTGTGCCCAGGAGCTGGACAAGGCTAGAAYRGCAATGCACATTCCCAAGGTYTGGCTGCTTCCTTAAATCCATGRMCYKGTYAGTGCAGTCTYTGAACAGCTGAAATGAGCTTTCARTGCYTAGAAACGAGCAGGAGTGACAAAGAAAGGGATTTGAATSTGGAAACCTGTGAGTTCTACCTGCTGACRCAGAGGCTGGGGCTCAGGGCAGCTGTGCAGYCCTTCCCTGGGGCACTGATCCTGCACTGCAATGCTGTGCTGTTACCAAACCCAGCCTCAAACCAGCAGAAGATAAGCCCTGACCATTTGCTCCCGACCCAGGCACASCCACAGCCCTTCCCARGGTGCTGGTCACTCATCCCCACCTTCACATTTTCACTGCAAAGAGTCARCTGRAATGATTCCCAAATAGCTGACACACCAAAGCATACTGGGAAAGGTAGGTTTAACACAGAATAAATGGCCACAAGAAAAAAATAATCTTGTTTAGCATAGGGTGTTGCTCTTCCTGTTTTCCTTCATAATGAAGTTATGTGCCTTTGTATATARCAATCTGTAAATAGGGGTGAGGAAAATCCCTCTCCCTAGAGGCAGAATTAAGTGATTATGCTTCTAAAATTTACTCACAATTTTAAAACTCAAGCAAACAGCRTAGTTCCTGTCCACAGCAAGTTTGGCACATTGGATTTCTATCTCTGTTTGACTGACAGACCAACCTGAGTGCAAAGCAGTGATGCAAAGAGAGCTCCAGAGCTGCCCACAGCCCAGGGACAGTTGGGCTTTCTCTCTCAGCACCTGCTGAGTCTTTGCCCAAATTCGTGCCTGCCCTTGCACATTTAATGGAAAAAAGCTTTAAAACAGCATCCAGGGAACTCATGCCTAAATCTGAGAACACCAATAAACTTCAATTTTGGCTTTATTATTCAGTGTCTCTAATGGAGAATCTGTTTTCTTCACTTGAAACAGGATGCTGCTGGCACCGGCAGAATTAGGGTGCAGGCAAGGGAGGATCCTGGGTTTAGTCACAGCCCTGCTGGGATCTGAAAAGGGCATTCACCTTGTAAGGGAGGGATGAAGAGGACAATCGTCCTCAGAAGCCCTGGCTCCAGATTAAGGTGAAGATGGAAAGAAGGAAGGCAAGCACAGGAGGTGAAAAAGTTTCTAAAATGAAAATATAAACAAATGTTGAGCTAAGAAACACACTTCCTTTTAGGCCTGGGGTGTAGAGGAAAGCAAATCACAGGGAATTACAGTTATTTGGGATTTTAGCAGGAGTGTACACGACAGCTCTGTAAAGCTGTGAGCCACAGAAGCACTTCCTAAAACAAGTATCTCAGTAGATCACATTGCAAATGTCATTTTTACAAATTTCCATACAACTGAGCTGTGCATCTGCTCTGTTTGTACTGCCTGCAGACACTGCTATAAAGTACTGTACGTTAATGTAACTGAGAGAAGGAGACAATGATATAACCAAGCACTGTACAAGATTTATTAAAACAGTTAAATTGTAACTCCCATCTGTTTCTTTCACTGGATTCACTATTTCTTTCATAACGGTTTGTCACTGAGAGTCTTAGAAACTCAGCAAAACATTTGAAACCACACGTTTCCTTCTGGTTTTTGGGACTGACATTCAGCAGGAAGGTTGCTATGGCCTGGATAACTACGTTTTACAAACAGGGGGAGTTGAAAATCTCAGACATGATAAGAATTAAATGCCAGAAAAGCTGTGAGC